CTTTGTCATTAAACCACCAGATGAACGTGGAGATCTGCTGCTACCTTTTATATGACTAGCTTAGCTCCACCTTATAGAAAAGGACACGCAGGTATATAGGAGTCACTTCTATATACCCTTGTTATTTGCTCTGTGCTGTGACAATGAGCCATTGTCCCTGATGGCCTTCAGCTTGGCATGAATCACAATACAAACAACAACCCAACACAACAACAGTATACTGTGAATGTAGAATTAAAAGCTCATTGTCAACTCTCATGCATTCATCCTCTCTTCTTTCTTCCCTCTAGCATGTACGCCTTCTCAGCATTTGACAACCAGCAGCTCCAGTATCTTTGGGACTGGAAGCAGCACAACCTCACCATCAAGGCAGGAAAGCTGTTCTTCAGAGCCAACCCAAAGCTCTGCACGTCTGAGATCCGCAAGATGTGGGAGAAGACGGGCATCCAGGGCCGCTTTGATGAGAGCGATTTCCGAAACAACGGCGACAGAGCCAGCTGTAAGGGTCACATGAGCTTCAGTCTGAAAACCACAAAAATTTAAATTGCCATGTCCAGTACATGTACAGAAGTTACTCTAGCTTACTAACAGTTTGCTTGCAAACACTCCCTCTGAGCCTGGTGTTGTTCTGTATTAGGTATCAATATTTACTGCACTACCCCATACAACAAGACTAATTGCCACACATTTTAACACACACACATATTGACGTACTTTGATTTTAAGTCTGCTCTCACTCCCTCGTTCCTGTCTCCATAGGTGTAAGTGCTATCCTGAAGTTTAAGTCCAACAGCACGAGCAGTACAAGGATCAAACTGACCTGGCAGCGCTACCGTCCCCCCGACTACAGAGACCTAATCAGCTTTATCGTCTATTACAAGGAGGCGTAAGTGTTTCAGAATCGTTCAGTCGTTAGCTGCTTCCTGCCCCAGGCTGAGTTCTACTGATTGTAGGAGTGGCAGGAGCTGGAACTTAATTCCCTCAGCCTATCAATCAACTTGTTTAAAGGCCCCTGTTTTTTTGTATTTTTGTAAGTATGTGTTTTTTATGCACTAGCCTCTGACTCGAACCGTCTCCCTTTCAGGCCATACCAAAACATCACAGAGTTCGAGGGGCAGGATGGCTGTGGCTCCAACAGCTGGAATATGGTGGATGTGGAGCTGAGGCCAGACAAGGACTCAGACCCAGGAGTCCTGCTGTCCAGCCTAAAGCCCTGGACGCAGTACGCTGTATTCGTTAAGGCAATCATACTGATGGTGGATGATAAACATATGCCTAGTGCGAAGAGCAAGGTGGTCTACATCCGCACCAGCCCTTCAGGTAGATATAATTTAATAAGTCATCAAGGTTACGAGCAACCAAATGTTGCCGCTTCATTATCAGATGGGATTGTTTCATGATGAGTGTGATAGCGTTTCTGGATGTGATCCAAACATGGTGTAAGGAGATGGAGGAAGACTGTTTTAGTAAACACAGCTGCAACTCGAAGAGATGGAGCAAAACTGATTTACAAAAGCTTTAATATAATTATATGAAATGGAAGGCCGCTTTAAATAAATCCAGCTGCACTGTAAAGTCATAGCAGTGCTCTGATGTCAGAGGATCACATCTGCACTGGCAGACTGTGCATCCCAGCCTGAAGGAGAAAGGCCCTATCCTACAAGTTCTTAAAAATCAGGTTTGCTGTGTCAAACAGCCACAGGGTGACACTGAGATCAGCATAATTTAGTTCTTGTCTCTGTTTCAGCACCCTCCATGCCTCAGGATGTGAGAGCGTACTCTAACTCATCTACACAGCTGGTGGTGCGTTGGTCACCCCCTGTCTCACCAAATGGAAACCAGACTTACTACCTGGTCAGATGGCAGCAACAAGCTGAAGACAGAGAGCTCTATCAGCACAACTACTGCTCTAAAGGTATACGCACACACACACACACACACACACACACCGTATACATTTCACCTTATCGCTAGTTGTTAAATTAGAGTACACGTGTCATACAACGCATCCTCTGCTTCCTCATCCAGAGCTCAAGATCCCCATAAGGATTGCTGCCATAGGTGTGGGAGACCAGGAAGAGGACACCAAACCCACTAAGCCAGACCCTGACGGGGCAGACAAAGGCCCCTGTTGCCCCTGCCCCAAATCAGTCGAGGACCTGGAGGCCGAAGCTGCTGACGCCTCTTACCGAAAAGTCTTTGAAAACTTCCTGCACAACTCTATTTTTACACCAAGGTAGGCGACTCATCTTCATTGCGTTGCTGCATGGCACAGGCGTGGACTGACTAACTTAATATTTTTGTTTAAACCACAATAATGATGACTTCAAAAACTCAAATATGAATGTATGAACACAGACAGATTTTACCTCATTGGCTCTGCTTGATTTAGGTTGTCTGTCTGCTGCTTTGCTCTTCAGACATCTGCATCACATTTTCTATCTCCAAACACACACACACACACACACACACACTTACGCAGAAAGAGAAATCTAATTACAAGTAAATTGGTAAAGCTCTTGAAAAGTGTAACTTATACACATTTGGCATTAGATTAAACAAAACCTGGTACGCACTCTTTTCTACTGGGATAAAAAAACTAACTCCTCTCCCATTTAACCAAATGTCATGACATTGAATACAGCTTGGGTTTGGTATATCACATATTGGCATATAACTGCTTGTAAAAGTTCAGTACCTACAAAATCCACCGAGCTGTTTGGTAATTTTATTTAGAATCTGCCCACCAAGTTTCATCACAGCTGCTTAGCTTAAGGCCAAATGGCAATGGAAACAACCAAGTCAGTTATAAACTTAAGGTTGAACGAGGAATTATTTGGGATCAACATGGAACCTAAAACAATACCTCCTTGTGACAGTCATATGTTGTGCTTCATCAACTTCTGTAAACAAAGCCCTGCTCATCTGCAGTACATCTCTTTGTTAATGTTACTTTTTCATTTTACTTTTGCCAGTTTCTTCCAGATGTCCCTCCTAGCATTTGGGAGAGGAAAATAAATTGACTTTGTAGATTTTTCTAGATGTTTCCCTACTCTTAAAACTTCTCCCTGGCAACTTTCTCCTCCATCCATCCCTCCTTACCTCCCTTGTATCTCCACTCTACCACCCTCTTCCTCTCACCATCAGGCCATCAGATCGTCGCCGCAGAGATCTCTTTGGGGTAGCCAACTCCACTCACTCGCGCCGCAACCGTCTGCACACCAACAGCAGCACTGTCCCGCCTCTCCAAGCCGCTGGTAACAGCAGCACCGCGGATGTGGAGCCGGCAGACAGAGAGTTTGAGTTTGTGGAGCAAGCAGTGACGGAGCGGGAGCTGCAGATCTCTGGCCTGCAACCTTTCACAGTTTACCGCATCGACATTCACGCCTGCAATCGACAGGTCCAACGCTGCAGCGCCGCAGAGTTCGTCTTCTCCAGAACCAAGCCTGCAGGTTAGAGGAGAAGTGATCTCATACCAATATATAGCATATTTCGACCGGAACTCTAATGGTAGCTGGTACATGTTGAAGCAGAAGTTGTTAAAAAATACTCTGGATGCATGAGGCTATATTCAGACCTATGTGTTCGCCATGGTAACCTATTCTCCCTGCGGTTCTGCAGAAAAGGCTGACGACATCCCCGGCCCAGTGACCTCTGAGGGCCATGAGGACTGGATGTTTCTGCACTGGCCGGAGCCACATCACCCCAACGGACTCATCCTTATGTATGAGATCAAGTTTAAACTGGCTTCTGAGGTAAGACAACATCTGTTCATCTACCTGCCAGCTCACTGAGGAGCAGCCATGTTTCACAAGAACTAAGAAGCAAGACAATGAACTCAAAATGTTTATTCAGAAGTCTATTTATTAGTGCTGTCCACATCTGAAATGCTGGTTGTTGGCCCCTCTGTCATTTAGTATACCTTATCCTATATGCAAACTATACATGCATACTTTGGCTTCATTGACTGAATTAGTCTGTTGCCTCCTCGTTTGTAGGTTATAAGAATCTAAATTAACATCCAGTCAACTGAGTATATAAGTAACATGACATAGTGAACCCCCTTTATTTATTAATCATGAGCAAGGCGAGGCTGATTCTGAAAATCCTGTCTGTTTGTTGCACAGTGAAGATGAGAAACAGCAGGTCTTAAATTCAGTTTTGAATTTAAAAATGTAAAATTCAGTCTATGATGAGCTTTTTTCTTTTCTTTCTTGTGTGTGTTTGTGTACGTGTGTGTGTGTCTCAGACCGAGAAGCACGAATGTGTGTCTGCTCAGTTGTATCAGACCCAGCAAGGCGTTCGTCTGTCCAACCTCAGTCCAGGAAACTACTCGGTCAGAGTCAGAGCCACATCACTGGCTGGCAACGGCTCCTGGACACCCACTCTGGATTTCTATGTGGCTGAACGTAAGACACACACACTCATCTCACACATGCATAATCAAAGTCCATCACTACTTTCCACTGTATCTCTACACCTATTTTGTCACAGTGCAGAAATAATGTTCACTGTAATAATTAAAGTAACCAAAGTGTTTTACCCGACAGGATATGAAAACGTCCTCTACGCTATGATCTTTGTTCCCATCGCCATCATCCTCTTCATCTGCCTTTTAGTCGCGATGCTGGTGGTCCTCAACAGGAAAAGGTGTGTGTTTCTGTTTACTGTTATACAAACTAGTCTCAGTATACTTTTTTCATCAATAAAGACCTCTGTACTTAAATGTTGTGTATGCTTCCTTGGGAAAAATATATTGAAGATTAGATTGAGATTACAGGACATACTCTGTGGGCACCTCATGATGATGTAGCAGAGTTCTCTCTCTCCACTAGATAAATGTTTCAACTAGTTGCTAATGGTCAGTGTGCTCACATTAGGATCTGTGTTTAATGACAAACCACTGGAACCAACAAACCGACCAAAGCAAAATGCTTTTACCAATCATAGTCTGTAAAACTAGGTGACAAATGAAGTTAGAATTTCTATTTTGTCATTGGCATTCTCTTGTGTTTGTGGTTGTACCTTTCATAATATTTAGTATCTGTTGGTGTCAAAATATTTATCTTGAAGGAAACTTAAGATGTCAGAAAAATCATCTATTTCTGTGTGATTTTAAATACTTAAAATTTTTGACAATGAATGTTAAGGAAATACAGCATTTTGCCAATGGTCTTTGGATGCTAAAACTGTGAAATGTATGATTATACACCATGCACATCCCAAGTATGTGGTGTGTGTGTGTGTGCGGTATGTGCGGTATGTGCAAGTGTGCCTGTAAACACTTTTGTTTTGTTTCGGTCAGGAACAGCGACCGGCTTGGAAATGGAGTCCTGTACGCCTCCGTCAATCCAGAGTACTTCAGCGCTGCAGAAAGTGAGTGAAATGTGTATGTGAGAAATGTAGTGCACATTTTTATTGTTGTCAGAATAACTGAAAACATCTATGCAGGGTCTTTTATTAACACCTTTTCTTTTCTGTGCAGTGTATGTACCAGATGAGTGGGAGGTGGCACGGGAGAAGATCTCCCTGAGTCGTGAGCTCGGGCAGGGGTCCTTTGGCATGGTGTACGAGGGCTTGGCAAAGGGCGTGGTCAAAGATGAACCGGAGACCCGCGTCGCCATTAAGACCGTCAACGAGTCGGCCAGCATGAGGGAGAGAATAGAGTTTCTCAATGAAGCCTCTGTCATGAAGGAGTTCAACTGTCACCACGTGGTATGTACACTACGCACACACACACACACACACACACATTAAGATCCTACAGCACAGTGGTGTGTTCTACATTGTACAGTTTCAGTCAGTTCTTGTGTCATGGTGATGGTGGCATGCTGTGTTTGGTGCAGGTTCGTCTCCTGGGAGTGGTTTCTCAGGGCCAACCCACCCTGGTCATCATGGAGCTAATGACTCGGGGAGACCTGAAGAGCTACTTACGCTCTCTCCGACCGAAAGAGGTACCGTCTGACCTAATTACCTGCATCGACTCCTTCCCACCAGGTCCCTGTTCTGTGGACATGGATAACTGGATAACTGCTTGATTTGATTGTTGATGATTAGAATTGACACAAGTTTGTACTTTTCTGCCGACTTAAAATTTACCTCCAGCTGTTGCCCAAGAAACAAGTTCTTAAGCTTGAACCTGCAGATGTGCAGACTTATTCCCAGTTAGCTGTAAATTAGTGGCATTAATATCAGGATTTATCATTTAAACTTATATACTTGGAGTAAGTTAAACTAAAGGTTGTATTTTACTCCATACTTTGCTGTGAACTGATCACATGGCACATAACTAATCATCACTAATGGTAACCTTTGGCTCAGCTGTAAGACCTTGTTCTTTTTCTGTGGACTTACTCTCTCCCATCTGTCTGTCTCTCTGTCTCCAGCAGCAGTGGTCGAGCCTGTCGCTCCCTCCTCTGAAGAAGATGCTTCAGATGGCCGGTCAGATCGCCGACGGCATGGCTTACCTCAACGCCAATAAGTTTGTCCACAGAGATCTGGCAGCCAGGAACTGCATGGTGGCTGAGGACTTCACTGTAAAGATAGGAGGTAAAGAACTGTCAGATCTATGGAGCAGAAGTGGGAGATGGTGCTCATTACATGGAATTTATAAAATCATTGGATGACCAAGTCATCAGGGTAACCTTACTCCAAGTAAAGGGAACCCACTGAGGGGCAGAAGCTCTGTCACTGTGTTTTCATCAGCAGATCCCGAGCTGAAGACATCTTGTCTCCAGATTTATTTTCATTTGAGACAATTATGGTCACAATGGCATTTTTTAAATGTCTGTAACACCAGTAGTGAGTGATCTGTAGGGGATTATGGTTACTATAATAATATGACTAGGCCTATATTCTCAGTAAAGAGCGCCCTCCTGTGGAATATGTGGACCCATACAACACAACAAGTACAATAACAAGAAGTCTGAGGACATTTACACCCTACACTTTTTAAAACAGTTAAAACCATCTTCATCAAATGCTTTGGGGTCTTTTTTATAGACATTGTCAATGCATCTCCTCCTCCCTGTGTGTGTACCTATGTTGTGTGTGTAGACTTTGGCATGACCAGAGACATCTATGAGACCGATTACTACCGCAAAGGTGGTAAGGGTTTGCTCCCCGTCCGCTGGATGTCACCCGAGTCTCTGAAAGACGGAGTCTTCACCACCACCTCTGATGTCTGGTAAGCAGGTGCACACAAACAAACAAACACACATATGGTGGCTTCATTTTCTGTGTTTACTGCTTCCAAAAATATGTTGGAGTCTGGTCGTGATACTGGAAGACATACTAACTTAACCCCCTCCTTCTCTTCCCATGTGTAGGTCGTTCGGGGTTGTATTATGGGAGATTGCAACTCTGGCAGAACAGCCCTACCAAGGTCTGTCTAATGAGCAGGTGCTCCGCTTCGTCATGGAGGGAGGGCTGCTGGAGAAACCACAGAACTGTCCTGACATGCTGTAAGACACCAACACACACAGCAGATTTCACACATTTCTATCTACACTTCAACTTCCTGTCTGCAATACTTTCCCCTACTTTCCTAGTTAAATCACAAGTGAGCACTGTTTACTCACACAAACAGTGAAGCAGTAATGCTGCCCACAGTTTTGATTGCTCTCACGCCCCGCCTGTTTGTCACTGCGTGCTCCATCCATGGTGCATTTGTTCTTAATATGAAACAGCCCGAGTATAAATCCACATTAAAAGAGTTGTGAGCGTGGCAGACAAATTTGGCCACAGACCACAAAACGTTGAAGGAAGCATCAGATGTTGAAGTCATGAGGAGAACAAATGTGAAGGCATAGCATTCTCTAACAGCAATTGTTGAATACATGTGTTGTCCATTAACGTATATGTCTAAAGACACTTGTTTAATGATTGTTTTAAAGCGTCATATGGCATATGTGGTAGCTTTGCATTAGATTTTGAGAGGACACATTAATTCTGATCCACCGCTTCCTGCGTAAGCAACTCAGCTGTAAGCAATACTTTGACATTTTGGGAAATATGCTTATTTGCATTGTTTTGGAGATTTGCATCAGAATATCAATACTAATATCTGTCCAACTTATCAGTAAGGCTGGAAACGGGCAAACAGCTACTCTGGCTTTGCACAAAGATATGATGGAAAAATCCACCTATCAGCATATCAAGTACTCAATAATTTACACGTGATATTTAATTACTTTAATACGTACAAATCCTGAAGTGGCGTGTTTGGTTTTTAGTTACCTTGTGGATACAGTCGGCTAGCTGTTTCCCCGTTTTCAGCTTTGTGATAAGTGAAGCTAACCGGTTGCTGGCTAGAATCTATTTAAAAGACAGATAAAGAGTAGTATTGATCTTATCTGCGCAGGAAATTCAGTTCAATTTTATTTGTATACCGCCAATTCATAACAGAAGTTATCTCAGGACACTTTTCAAATACTAGAAGGATGTTTTTACATTAATCTGCTGAAAATGAAAAGTTTCTCTGTGCTCAGTGAAAATCTGATTTTTAAGGGGCGGGGCCTACAAGTGTGATTTGTGACATTAAATAGTTTGGAAGTCAGTCCTGGTCCAGTATGCAGTTTATACAGTGTGATGTAGAAGCCACGAGTGCACATACACTGAGAATGGATAGTGTAGAGTAGTAAATAGGAGACATCTTAACATATGAGACACATATTATTGTGCAGGCAGAATATTTGTAAGTAGTCCAAATGATACATGTCTGGGAGAGATCTTTAAAAAATGGAGTTTAACCACACCTCTAATCACTCTTCCAGCCCTGGAAGTTTTCTCGACCCACCCTCCCTTTCCCTTCCCATCATCTCTTCATCCTCTCTCCCCATCCTCTCTTCCTATTCAATCAGTGTGTACCTCTTCCACAGCTCATTCTAGGTACCGGTGTGGAAACCCGCCTGAGACCAAACCCCCACACTGAGTCTCCCTCTGCCCAGCCTTCAGCAGGTCCTCCCAGAGCAATCTAACAGAAGACAACTTCTCCACCTTCTCCCATTCACATCCACATCAACTCATCCATCCTTAACCTTTAGATTAAATATTGTTGTGGCGTGGTCCATGCTAGTGAAGGCTGCTTTGGATGAGACACTGCATGTGACAAGATTAAATGGACCAAACATACCATTTAGTTGAAATCACTATTTGCCAATTCTATGAAAGCATAATAATGTTTTTAGATTTATTTTTGTCAAGTTGTGCTCTACAACTGACTGACACATCGCCCTGTGCTGCTAAATAAATTCTAATTTCCCTAAATAAAGCATCGCGCCACAGATCAGATATCTTCTGCATGGCAGGACTGAATTAACTTACAGTCACAAATCATCGGGGGCCTAATCTCACACCTCGCTGAGCATATGCAGATGGGATCGAACTTGGATCATGAGGAACAGTTGGCTGGACATAATGTTTGGTTATTATTTCCCTTTATCGCACGCTGGGAGGAGAGATCAATAAGTGAGGACACAGCGGTAGCCTCTCACTGCAGAATGTTGACACTTCATATCAAGTTTTAGTGTCGGGTACTCCAATAAAACAGAGTACATTTTGTTCTTTCAGAGATTATCTCTACATGTAGTGGGCTCTCAAGGTAATGAAAATGTTGGATGTCACCACAGAAGCTCAGCAGTTCATCACATTTGGTGTTTGGCCTTTGATGGATGTGTGCTATGCATTATGTTTGTTGCTCGGCTGGACGGATATGTCATTGAGTTGTGGCCACTTGCTTTTAATTTACCAAGACAGAAGCTACTGTGATATAGAGGGGGAAACTTTCTGAAAAATTGTACCTTACAGAGAACCTCACATCACATAGCATTGCAGAAGCGATGGCTTGAGTGTATTGAGGCAACACATTCTCACTCCAGGTAATCAAACACCAACGCTGCTTTGTCATGGCCCTCTGCGTCTCATACAAATCGATTCCATTCCTCTTTAAGCCCTCAAATGTCTATATAGGTATTTTCCGTTAAATAAATCGGTCAAGTCAATTCAATTTAATTTTATTTGTATAGTGCCAACTCATAACAGAAGTTATCT